ATTCTGTCGTTTAAATTAAAAATTAAAAAAAACTGTATACTCAATAAATAATTGAAACTTGTTTATTTTTTACGTGTTAAAAAAAGTTACTTACAGTTTATTCCTCATCTCCTCGTATCTAATAGCAAATTGACATCGACATTCTTATATCAACTATATTCAGTAGAAACAAGACATATACATGTACCGATGTATCTGCATGTAGTGTAGATAATAGTTTTTTTTCTATAAATATAAATAAAATTGTATTTGTTGGGTCAAAAAGCGTGAAAACTTAATGTAAGGCTTCTTATATATTGTTACAATAGCAGATGAAAAATATTAAAAATACATAGACATGTTTTTTTTTATAATTATTTAAAGTTAATATTTTGATAAAATTTATCAAATTTAAATTTTACAAATTGTTTAGTAGTTTATAAAAATGTATAAAATGTTCAACTTTTATAGTAAGGATTGAAAATATAGAACAAAGTTCCACGTAAATAGGTTAAATAGAAATAAATACTTTATTCGCAATACTATCATAAAATATTCTTGGTAATATCATAGGCAGACCGTCTTCGCTCAGAATCGTTTTTCTTATCCTGCGCGAGAGCGATGTAAAAATAAATATAGCGGCGGCACGACTTCGTATATATATATATATTATATATCGAGTTTCCCATTTAAACAGTGTACATTTTGGTGTTTTTTTTAACCGGACCTAATTAATTACCTTTCTACAGAATCAATTGATACCTGATACATTGGAAAAAATCAGAAAAATTGTGCAGATGATCCTTTTGCGAAAATCATCGAAATCGTACTGTTAAAAATTAAGTTAGTGAAGGAAATGTGCAAACTTTTTAATGAGAAATTTTAATCACGGTGACCGCATCTCGCTTTGTCGTGCTGTCAGGTTCCTTCACTCCATTTTGTGTACGCGACGCATTACATTATTGCTATTTTACGACTTTACGTATTTATTATTTGTCTCATTTCGTTATCGACTATTGACTATCACTTCATTAAATTACCTTATACCTTAAATTTGTTATATTTAATTTAATGTAATTTGTTAAATTGTAATAATTACTAGTATTAGTATGTATTAGGTAGTGTGTTAATAGTTATTATACTGTTGATAGTTATTTTTCTCACAAATCGCACCTCAATATTGTTATTGTTTAATTATAAATATGCCAACTAAAGTGTACAAACAAACGAATACAAAATAAGGAAAAGTACCTACTTATTATTGAATATTTTAATGAAAGAAAGAAACTTAGTGATAAAATAAATTCTCCAAGAAACTGTAGTCTCGACAATTTTGTAAAAAATGGTGATATCACAAAAAAAACATTTCGTCTTTCCGTGTAAAAAACACCAAAGTAAAAAAAAAAACAGATCTCTAAGCACTATAATATATAGTATAAAGATGTGATATCATAAATAAATGCTAAGTAAATTGAATTAAAGACTAAAGTGCTTTTATTTTGTTTCAATAATATATTTACTTGGCTAGAAATTGTAGGTACACGTTATATTATGACACAGCACACGAAATAACAATAACAAAATAAACTTAAGGCATTCGAAGTTCATTATAATTTAAAATATTATAATGGACACCTCTACTCAAAATAATTTCTTGCCAAGTAAATAAATGTACTTTGACTCGAATTACTTGGCACTTAATTATAATATCACATCTTTATAGTGCTTAAAGGTCTGTTTTTTGTTTACTTAGCCGTTTTTTACACGATGTTCGACGAATTGCTTTTGTTGTGATACAATATTATATCATTGAATTATAATTTAACACAATCCATTACAGTGACCCACTTGTAACCTTTTTGTACATAGATTCGATACTCACTTGCCCACCTTCTTAAGAGGATTCGATACCGTGATTTTCTGTTTTTGTCTAACACATACGCGACATAGTATTTTAGATGTGTTTTTTGCCAAACATACCAATTGATCACATGAAACGATAAGAATTCTGAAAACAAATTTGAATTTGTCGTCAAGTCTACTTGAAATCGACTTTCCACATTTTTGATATTATCCCCCAAATTTTTTAAAATGTCATATTCAAAAAGAGTATTTAAAAATTCTGTTATTTCAATTTTTGGAGAAGTTAAAATCAAAAAATCAAAAATGTGGGAAAGTCGAGTACAAGTAGACTTGACGACAAATTCGAATCTGTTTTCAGAAATCTTATCGCTTCAATAGATCAATTGGAATATTTGGCAAAAAACACTTCTAAAATACTATGTCACGCGTGTGTTAGACAAAAACAGAAAATCACGGTATCGAATCCCATTAAAAAAAATATTTAAATACATATTACATATTCTATGTTGTATTAAAAATAAACATAAAATATCATATCATATCTACATACATATTATTATTTTCTAACCTTAATTTAAAAGAAATAATCAGTGAGTTTTGATTGCTTATCATTTTTATAAATTGTACTTTTTTCGTAAAATCTTTCGATTTTATTGAGCTTAATTGAGTTTCATTGAGAATATTTGCTTATTTTCTATAAAACTATTTCTCCCAACAAAAAAACCGGGTAGTACACTAGTACCTATCTCTTTTTCTGTGAGTTTAGGCAGTTATTCTGCACGTTCCTCTTCGTTTTCTTTTCTATGGCACGACGTAGTCTTTTTGCTTTTTTTTTATTAAGATTATTTTTAAGTACCTAGGTAAGTTATGATCATTTTAAAATGTAGGTACCTAGTTTCAAAAACTAAAAAGGTCATGATTTACTTAAAAATACCTAATAATATCAATTCGTCGTGCCCAAGATATATCTTAAGAAATATCTTACCTTTAATTTTTATAATAGGCCAATATTCATTCTAATATTATCAAAACTAACACTTAACAGCACACTATTGAAACTGGTGAACGAAAATTTGACATGTACGTGTGTAATACGGAGACAATACATGCTTATACGACGTCCTCTTAATTAAATTAAATTTGTACTTTACTATACCTATATAATAGTTTACTCTTTTAACTCTGCGGGACTGCTCCCGATTATAATGTTTATAAATCGTTGGTACTCAGATATTAGATACCTAGTAGGTACCAATTTATATATATTTAGCCACCATGGTTGATACAATATTACAATATGATCAAACTCACATATATCTATACTAATCTACTGTGATATATTTTGTACCATATCTGTGATCGTAGAAAAGACATCCAAACCATAGACCTTATACTTAAGTAGTTAAGTATAAGGTCTATGATCCAAACCGAAAAAAAACATTTTATCATGATCCAAACGATATTGTGGGGAACAACGGGTACTGTGAACTACTGTCATCCAAGATAACGTCGTACTGGTCTATTATCATTATCTTTATTATTATTGTGATCACAATTATTTTTCATTTAACTATTTATTATTGAAGTATATTAATATGTTTGGATAATATCATTAAATACATTTATGTGCAATTAAATGTTTCTAATAAACAACGGCAGATTAAAAAAAACACAATAATAACATTATTGTTTGTATCTGTACATATTCTTGTAAGTATTATTTTTTTTTCCGTATTTAGGTAGAACTATTATAATTTCTAGATGACCAAACTATTATGCTTAAACATATAAATAAAGCAAAGTCTAGACAAGAAATTAATATCTAAATTAATAAAAATAAATATGACATTTCAATTATAGCAAATTATATACATTTCATGACAATCATTCATAGTCTACTTGGAATTGTTTTTATCTTGTTGTGTGCCAATTGGCCACTGATGTATGATAAACATAAACAAAGGACATTGAAATTATACCTATTTTAAAGTATAAACACATTCTAACATTAAAAAATGTATGTAGGAAGAAGGTAATATATTTTTTACAAATCACAATAGGCAACGACATTAATTTACCGCGTATATAAAAAATGTGTAAAAGTCCTCGGATAAAATATACTGGTCACCTAAATTCGCTTATCAAAACTGCTTCTTTTTTATTCATTGTTGTCGTCAAAAAAATAAGCATAGAAATAATATAATAGTACTAAACAGAACTTGTCTGATTAACCAATATTTATTATTTATTTACTCATTGTTTGTTGTTGTTTATATCAATGGTGTATTGTACTTTTTTAATAAAAAAGGTTAATTAGAGAAATATTGTTAGTTTGTAATTGTTTATCACTTGTATTAGCTACTAATGTTATGTCATTATTTAATAAGCTTGTACATTACTCACCTAATTAAAACATAAGAACTTGAAAATTTCTTAAAGATAGTCAATTTACTAAGAAAGAAAATGTTGAAATATTTAGTTCAAAATATTCCTTAGAATTATAATCCTTTCAGATATTCAGACCATTACTATTTTTATACAAATGGTTCACTTCTATATTTTTACATGTGTCCAAACAGTCATAACATTATATTAAAAACAGTAGGTATTCAAATTTTTTAACTTTTCACAAAATAACAAATTCAGTTATAACTAGGACTAAGAAAATATAACAACAAACGTAAATAATACTAAGAGAAAATAAGAAAATAATTATTAAAAAATCAAAAATAAATTATCCAACTAACAACTGTATAATAGGTATTATATTAAATATATTTTTTCTATTTAAAATAGGTGATATTAATAGTAGGGGACAAAAATAATAATTAGATGTAGCGTGTATGTCTATAACAAAAACATGGCATTATCAAAAAGTTTTGTTGTAGATTATAACTTACAGTGAATTGGTGCTGTTTCTTTTCACAAATCTTTAGAAAAAAAAATACTTTTGTTATATAGTTGAGTATAAAATACATAAATAAGTAGAGAAAATAATATTACAACTTCCAAGCCTTAGTTGTAAATTTGTACCTTATATTATGAGTAATACTGTTTTACTTTCCTATTAAAGTAATTTCTAATCCAAAACATTTTCAACAGGATTTTTCGAAATAACATTAATTAATTCATGGTCAACAAATATTTTGTCAATTGTAATGGATGATAGTGTTGAAGACAAAATAATATATCAAGTTTATTTGACACATATGAAGTTACTATCATCAAAACTGACATCAGCTAAGAACAAAGTTAACTCTTTTAACAACATGTGGAAATATATGCAATTTTATTTTACCAAACCAGAAGTAATATTTTTTTTAGCATTAATACTTTGTTTACTCTTTTTCTCCGGTAATTTATTTCAAAGCACAAATGGATTTTTAAAAAAAATTAATCGAAGTCTGTCATTCATTGGTTTTAATGATTTTCAACAATTAATGGTTGATGAAAAAGATGCACTTAGTAAAAACTGGAAATTTGATGGTAAAAATGTTGCTCTATATGCTATCAAAGGTCGACGATCACAAATGGAAGATAGATATGTCATAAAAACTAATATTATGAACACTGGTATATCATTATTTGCTATTTTTGATGGACATGGTGGTGAAGTAAGTAATAAAAATATTATTTTGTATTAGCTTGTTTTAAAAAAAAATTATTTTACAAGACATGCCCTACATCTATTAAGATTTTAATTTTAATTATAATTAATTAAAAGTAACGTTTTAATGTGTTTGTTGTTGTAATATAATTCATTTATTTAAAGAATATTCTCATTCACATAAAACGTATAAATAAACTTTATTATTGCAAAATAAATATAATATACATTTATAATTTCTAAATTCCACTGGACATAAATTTAAATTTTATAGAGTACCAACATATGTGTAACCATAATATGTGTTAAATACTTATACTGGCATATTATAAATAAATTATGGTAAATTAGAATTCTTCTACAATTGTTAACTGTTTTAAAAGTTATTTTTCTTACTGAAAACCGTTTTTATTTTGTAATTAGTATAAATTAAAATCTAGGTATTAGTATTTCAACTTCATTATTTATTTGATTTTAAAGTTTTAGTCATTATTTTTATATTTATATAATATTATATAGTTTTAAGAGAAAGAAATTCATTAAGTAATTAAACAAAAAATACAAAACTGAACATATCAAAATATGCAACATACTAAAAAGTTAAATAATCCAAATAAATTTGTACATTCTATTGGTCACAAAGTTGTTTTCACATTTTTGTTGGGGGGGGGGGGAAATGTTTTCAGTGTATGTTTTTTTTTTTTATTCAACTTCATTTATTAATAAGTAGTAATTACATGTATTGTTTTAAGTGCATGTAACTGCTTTACATAGAACATTTTATATTTTATATTTTAATTAAAATATATACATATATATATCATAGTTATCGGTTGTGCAGGGTAAATAATCACCCAGCCTAAATATATCACCTAATCAGTATAAATATAGACGTTATTACAAATTTCTCAAACTTCATACTTACCTAATATTTTTATATATTTTATAGCTGTTGATTACATGTTTAACAACATTTATGAGTCAATAAGAACTTTATTTTTCAATCAGTAATCCTGAACCGTCCGCTACCGTAGTTGATTGTGTCTATAAAAATATAGTTACAATACTTGGTCGCATGGGGTAAATATTTTCCAAACACAATACAATCGGCTTTGGCGGACGGTACAAGCTTACTGCTTCAATAAAACAAGTTCTGATTGACTCATACATTTAGAATAACATGTAATTAACAGCTATACAAAATATAACGAAGGTATGTTATCTTGGAACTTTAATGATTTCTATATTTAAAATTATTTACCCCGCCACTAATAGAAGATTGATTAGTTATTCATGCCTTGTAAAATAACCGTGTAAAAAAATTTTCAGTTTGCTGCAGAATATGCAACTACACATTTAATGAAAAATCTTACAAATAAAATTATTGAAGTAAAAAAATTGCTTGATGAAAAAACTGATGCAACCGAAGACTTGAAAATATTTAATTCAAATACACCTGATAATTTAACACCAAAGATGAAAACAAAAATTATTAAAATTGAAGAACATACGCCTACAAAAATGAAACCTACAAGTTCTGCAGATGATAGCGTTATTAGTCTCAATAAACATAAACAAGACCCTCTAAATTTAAAAAAAGACATAACTACATTAAAAAATGTTGATGATGAGATCATAAATCCTTCTTCATATTTACAAAAAGATGGAAATATTAATTTTTCAAAAATATTGATTGATGAAGTTCTAGCCGCTGACAAACTATTAATTGAAGCAGCAAAATTAACTTATGATATTGCCGGTAATATTTTATTTAAGTTATACTTGTAAAATCTTGAAGTTATTATATATTGGTAAATTAATAAGTGTTTAAAAAAACTGCATTCTTAAGCTTTTAAACCTATCTAAATCTAAACGAGTTACACATCTTTGCGCCTATATAACTATTGTAATATTTTAAATTAAGGTACATATTTATAAATTTGACACTCCAGTTAAAAATAACTAAAAAAATTAGTATTTGGGTATAATGTGTTTTCTATATTTATTCTCTATGAAACGTAATGTAAATTATAATATTCAAAATGCTCTCTCGTAGACAATAATTTAACTGTATTTAATTGCTTTCTTGAACTGAAATTGTTATAAGATGGTGTACATAACTCAAATTACAATAACTCAATTGAGTTGTTGCAGATTTAAACTGAGGCTTTGTAATGTCTATAAAAACCCTTTTATTTAATTTTTATTACAAGTAAATAAAAATTTTATTCAAACTACCCTTTCTTTCATTTTTTTTTTACTTCCCATTTTTGCTGTAAATGTGACATAATTATCTATATACTTGCACTACTAAAAGTTTTACTATTTATTTTATGTTAAAATCAAATGATTTTAGGTAGCACAGCACTCATTGTTTTAGTTGAAGGCACTACATTGTTTGTTGCAAATGTTGGAGATTCAAGAGGTGTTATGTGTGATAAGAAAGGAAATGCTATACCATTATCATTTGATCATAAACCTCAACAAGTATTATTTGTTTAAATTAATATATTTATTTAAATCTTACAATATAATGTGCTTCAGATGAAAAAACATTTATTTATTTATTTTGTATAATTTAGATGCGAGAAAAGAAACGTATAGCCGAAGCTGGTGGTTTTATATCATTTAATGGTGTTTGGAGAGTTGCTGGTGTATTAGCTACTTCCAGAGCACTTGGAGACTATCCTTTAAAAGAAAAACAATTTGTTATTGCCAATCCAGATGTTTTAACATTTGATTTATCGCATCATGATCCACAATTTATAATATTAGCATCAGATGGCTTATGGGATACATTTACAAATGAAGAAGCTATAGAGTGTATTAAAAGACATATAGATGATTCATTTTACGGAGCCCAATACTTAACAATACAATCATTTAATAGAGGATCGCTAGACAACATTACTGTACTAGTCATTAAATTTCCACCTATATGGAGTAAAGAATCACAAGTAGTTGATCATGGTGGTAGTAAATATTAATTATTAAACATAATAGGCATATTTAACATAATAGGAACATTTTGTAATTTTTTTTACCTCTAAAGCTAATTTAACCTTGTATTTAATTGAATACCCACCTATTTTAGTGACTTATATTAAGAAGTTAATCTTTGGTTTTTGTTCAATATAACTGTTATGTTTACTGTTTTGTATAATTTAAATTAATATATGTTGTATTTCAATGAATAACAATGAAAAATTATTAGTTCTAAGGCTTTAGAGCACAATATATGTTTCTGACCTGAATGTGTATTAAAAATTAAATCAATTTATTAATGCCAAATATTACTAAATACATACTTACATACATTTTATACATTATACATTCAGTAATAAATTGATTATTAAATATATATAAATAATTTTGAAACTGTGTGTCACAGAATTGATAGAATTGGTAACCTTGCAAAACAGATAGAAACAAATAGGAATTTTATCAAGTTTGAAAAAAAATATTAAGAATGTAAGTACCTAATATAAAATAATTAAAACATTACTGAAATATTTTTTTTACATTACAATTATCGGCCTTTTTTTATCTTCTTTTCTAAACTAGTTAATACTTACAATGAAATTTACTTGTATACTGTACAAGTCTCGATTATTTAAATTATATTTTATATATTATGTTAATGTTAGTGGCAATCTACAAAAATATTAAATACTCTTGATTAATATAAAATATAAAAATTGAATAAAAATTTAAAATCATTCAAGTCACCACATAACCAATGAAAGGTCAAATAATGTGTATTGGACTAATATGAAAATATGTAAATCATACTTTTGTTTGTTATGTTTTGTGCATTTAGTATCAAAAAAGTTAAATTTCTACTTGACTATAGTTTTGGGTTTATTATCACAAAACGTTTAAAAACTAGCAAAATAGCATTTTCCAACAAGATATAATTTTTTAGGTTTATATCTATTGCATCTTCAATTCCTTGGGAATAATTAAAAGAAAAAGTTTAGAACAAAATTCTATAACAATAAACTTCAACATAATATATTAAAAACACTTGCCATTTATTAATTATTAACATTATTAACTAACAATATTTAACATTATAACAGTTAAGAATGTATAAATAATTAAAAACTAGTCAAATTTAACATTTCATACTGATTGGACGGAATATGAATTTACAGTCACAATTTGAAAATCACATAATACAGGTTTAGTATTTTATAAAAATATAATTAATAATTTAAATTTAAAAAAAAAACAGAATAACTAAAAGTATTTAATATTAATAAACCGTAAAATAATACCATAATATGTTACAATTTCATTATCATAAAAATAATAAGTGTTACATTTGAGATTATTTTTTTCATTATCACAAAATGCAATACTCAACAGTTTATTTCTTTATCTTAAAATCTCAATTAGGTTTTATGCTTAATTGTAAATAAATCTTTTAAATTTTTGTACATAATTTAAAACATCTTGTCCAAATATGATAATTGAAATTTTTGTAAATATATTTACAAAAATTTTAAACAATCAGAATTGTTCAAAATAATTACAATATTAAAATAAAGACTAATCTAGATATCAAAAACCCTGTATTCCGATATTTAGACTAAAAAATAATGGCATTAAATACAATCAAATAACATATAATATAGGATGAAAATACAATTGTGCAACAATACAGAACAATAAATTAATATAAAAACAATAACTCTAAAACATCTTGTCAAATATCTAAATGGAAATTTTCGTAATATATTTACAAAAATTGTACTAGCAATCAAAATTGTTCACAATAACTCAATATTAATAAAAGGTGGGTGCCTACAGGCGCGTATACAGAGGGGGGTTATGGGGGTTTAAACCACCCCCCGAAAATGAATAGTTGTGTACTTTATATATATATATAACCCCCCCCCCCCAATTTTTTTTTGTGTACACGCCTGGGTGCCTAATACATATAGTACATTGATACTTGCAAATAACAAAATACAGTTTATATTTAAAATAAATGAAGTAAAGTTCATAAAGAGTAGGTAGGGTATGAATAATTGTGTGTATAGGAATTATTATGTTTTATTATAAAAAATAAAACAAAAGTATTATAAAAATATTATCAAGTAAAAAATGTGTATTTACAATGTGATCTTAGTATCTTGGAGTTCAATCCCAATATTGTCATATGCAAAATAATAAAATGAAAATACAATATAGAATTATGAAACTAAAAAGTCAAGTTACATGCCCAGATTTATGCATAAGCAGTGTAGGTAGTAAGTCTACAAATTTGTGATTGACAACAGATTTAGGGGCGCCAGCAACAATATTTTTTTTTTAATAATATTATTTTTGATACAAAATACAAATTAATTTCAATTTTTTTCGTTTAAGTACAAGTGTTTATGGTACATTTTAAACTAATAGATTCGTTTGTACCCATACTCAAAACCATGTAGTTATTGTACTGTTATTTAATACAATTGTTTACATCATTAAGATCATAATACGGCTTTAAATTTATGTATACGTATTTAAAATAAAATAAACATCATACCTATCATTTTATTTTATTGATTTTCTTTCCGTTCAAATAATATATCCAATAAGTTACAAATATTATTATATGATTTATTCAATTTTAATAACGATAAGATTTGTATATTGATTCAAAATATCACAAAGGGATTTTAAAATAGAGACACCACATTTTTTAGTCATTAGGCACCATTGGTCTTAATCCAGGCCGGCAGTTGCAGTTTATTACTTTGGTACTTATATTACACACATTGAACTATTGGATTAGTTAGGTAACTAGTGTAAAAAACACCAACAGCCAATATACCACATTAATTTGCACGATGATATTAACGACAAGTTTTTATACCAAATATTGGTATTATAAATCATAGTAAGTAGCAGCCCAACGCCTATAACAGCGTTAACCGCCAAATATGAAATTTGTACATTAAAAAGGTAAAGCTCTATAGTACATTTGGACACAACAGATATAATTTCCCTCGTATTAAATTTTAATATAAGATTTGAATTAAACAAATTACAATTAATATGTCGCAAACGACTGGTAATTGGCCTAAAAAACTCTTTAACTTATTTCACCATTTAGGTTGTACAATGCATTTTTCAATTGTTAGTATTTTGAACAAAAAATGAGTGCTAACACCCTGCAATTAATTTGAATAGAAAAATTCACGATTTAATATCACAGAAAAAAAGAGAACTAAACATAGACAAATCATTTTATAATACAAGTATACCTAATTGTGTTTTCAATTTTTATTTTTAGAAAGTTCAAGTTTATTTTAATTAACTATATGTAGTTGCAAGTGGAATATTTTCCAGTACAGCACTATACTCATTAATAGATATCCACCTAAACATGAATTATCCCAATTTTCCATAGGAATGTATACTTATGAGTTATGTTCATACAGATTTTTCTAAAATGATTGAATTATTGGAATTTGTAAGACGTCAATGGCATTGAATTGGTAAAAAAAATCTACTTATGCCTAATAACTGAGGTAAATGAATTAATATTTGTTCTTCTTTTTATCTTCACATAAGTTGTAGTCTTACTGATACAAAAGATAAAGAAAATGAATGAAACATTGTGTATATTTTGAATTTTAAATAATAAAACAGTATAACAATTTAAAAAAATAATAATAAATATAATAATTCACACAATATTACCCACTTTTTTTTTACTCAAAAAGAGTATGATGAAAACGCTGTGACAATTCAGTTCACTGTGTATACACCATGGTGTTTCGTGACGTGAAACTGTAGAACTACAGTGAACTGTTTTGTCACAATGTTTTCATCATACTTTGCGTAAACAAAAAAACAAAAAGTGGGTAAACTTACGAGGAATAGAATATAGAGGTGGCAGACGTGTATGTGGCAAATTAGTGGTATATTAGGTAATATGTAAGATAATTTAATAAATTTATAAATGTTGTATGATCTATACCATAGGCGCATATAGCCCAATTTTTTTTTTGGGGGGGGGGTGCTAAATCTCCCTCTTCTTATATTGTCTAGTATTTTTTTCCTATAATGATATATATATGCTTAGTACTAAATACTGTCTTTTGAATTGGAAAGACCAAGACCCCCTAGCCCCCTCCTATTTGTGCCAATGGTCTATTCCACAATCTGTAAAAAACGACCCAAGGCCAAGAAGCCTTTACAAAATAATTATTTATTCATTCCAATTAATTTTCAGATTAATGCAAACAAATATATAATTACAAAAATTAGTACACAATAATCATATCACGAATAGTAGGGCTTCTTTTAAGGCTATTTTTAAAATTTTTTCTAAAGATATGTTTTTAATTGTTTTCCAAAAAATATATAATGTAAATATAGTTTTAGTTATTTTATTTTAGAATACAGTTAATGTACTGACAAGGTTCTTCGGACGGAAAATTGAATAACTCAACGATATAAAATAATTATTGTTTAGTACTTGCAATTAATTATTTAGATAACTCATAACTTATTTTCAGTAAATATACTCTACAGTAACAGTTTTTATATACTTAGAAATAAAATTCTCAATTACAAGAACATTCAAAAAATTAAAGTATTTTATTTATATTACCAATCCATTACTAAGTAGTAACGGTAGATGGTATTAGATGGTCTAGTGCACAGATGCAAGTGCTCACTTACCACATTTGTATTAAGATAGTTTCTGTTATCAATGATCAATTTTAGTGGTATATACCTATGTATTTTATAAAACCAAGTATTATTCATATAATTGTAAAATTAAAACCCGTTAAAAGACAAAAATATAGTAAAGTTTAGATGACTACTATAAAACTCTTTTTATTAATGTGTAAACTTTGAAATGCCTGTACTGAATTTGTTAAATGTTAGTTACCAAGCCTGTGCACTTAACTATCTTGATCTATATTTTAATACTTTATTTAGGTAAATAAAATTAAATAAATTGAAAATATTTGTGCTTGAGGAAAATTTAAATAAATACATTTGTTTTTAAATAATTAATTAAATTAAATTAATAAATTGCCAATGATACATTTTAAAATCATGATAATGTCCAAATACATAATTGTATTTTATTTGGTTTCATTTGATAGGTATGTAATTAATACTGTATTCAATTGTTGTTAATCATATATAAATAGGTACCATACAAGAAAATGAATAAAGACTATCAGTCGAATATTTATAATAGAGAATCATAATTTGTGTTATATTTAATTTTATTAGTTTGTATATCAAATAGGTAGGTAAATTAAAATTGAATATTATAAAGATTTGTATTTTTTACTCTTATAATAAAAAATTATTTTTTTAAAATACTAAATTGGCAAAACCAATCAATCAATTGTGAATGTTGTATACATATAATATTGTAGCATATATTTAGAAGTATTTTAATTTAGTTATAACTTATCACTAATTAGATTCATTGTTAATTAAAGTACTAAAACATTGCATTATAGATGATATGAATACATTTTCTTTGGAAATAAGGTTATTGATGGGTTTTACTTAATAAATGAGAGTTAAATTCATACACATTACCACATTGTTCTCCACAAATATTGCATTTCCATGGGTTTGTTTCAGAATGACACCCCTTGTGAAGAAAGTAAAGTGTTTGGTCTGGAAATGTAATACCGCAAAAGGAACATTGTAATGTTTTTTGAAATGCTATGTACCTCCAAATACCAGGATCTGTGTTATGAGGCTGAGATAATTCAGGGGTATTCATATTTATGTTACGTTTAAATTCATCACGCAACAATGATTTTAGAGGTGATACTTTGATTAATGATGATAAACTTGATGCTGGCTGAAAACGTCCAGACTCAGTTTCTCCATTTTGGACATTATTTGAACTATTTTTTCTTAAATGTTCATCTCCTTGTTCTTGTTTTATTGGAATTAGAGAAACAGATGGTGTGATTGTACTTACTTCACCTTCTTGTCGATTATTTCCTGCTAATATTGGTAATGTAGACATATTAGAGTTTGAATCTGTTGACTGTGGAGAATTTGGACATTCATTATCTTGTAAAACATCATCATTATTTAAATTTTGAATAGGTTCTGTTTTCACATTATTGTCATTAATCTAAATATAACAAAATAAAAGTTCAAAAAAAAATATTAAGTCTAAAAATTAACAAAGTTAATTATGTATAAACTAAGAAATTAAAATAAATATGTCCATCCAATAATTCAGCACTTATAAACAACTATTATTTTAAGTTGTATTAATTGCTAACAAGGAACAAAATAATATTATATAATATACTAGCTGATCCCGTACACTTCGTTGCCCGTTAAATGTATCAACTCAATATGACTCAAACTTTGTTCAATTTGTTATTTAATATTCGGTGTATGGTGTACAACATTTATATTAACTTTTCCGTTGCCCGGAATAAAAATTCTGGTTCACAGCAGTACATTATCAGGTAGGCAATCTACCTGCGGTAGATCGAGGACCCCGTGCTGTTTGTACGTAAGTGTATGATTTAACTCTAAAGTATCAAAGTTATACAAAGTTTGTCGTTTTTACTTAATTCCACCTACGGTGGATTAATATAATCAATTTATACAAAATCATATCCTAACCTTACCTTACTAAAATCCGAAGAATAAAAAAAAACAAAATTCAAGACTGAAAATTAACCTATCTTCTTCCCAGAGGTCTAATCTACCCACAAACATTAATTTATATATATATATTACTATATAAATACACAGACTATAACTATACAGACTAAACTCTGGAACTACTTATCCAATCTTCTTGTATATATTATATTATGTATATGTATATTGACAAAAGATAATAATACAAATCAACAAACATGCCCGATTATTATGCAACCAATATATTATACACCGGTGGAATTTCCTAAAATTTTCTTTTATACAAAAATTTTCCATGAAATACTTTTTCGTTTAAAAATAATTTAAGAAGACCTGATAAGTAGTTCCAGAGTTTAGCCCGTATAGAGATTTTCATTTCACATTTTACAATAGCTTAAAAACCCAGGGCGCAACCATTTATAAACAAAAATTTCCATTGGAAATCACAAAATTACCGTTAGAGCACCTCCAGGGGTTGGTCCTCTCCCTTTTAAAATTAGCCTATCTTTTAAGTTGGACCAAATTACACACAGTGTAAAAAATGTCATCAAGATAGGTCCAGTAGTTTCGGAGTTCATCCTGGACAACATTGTGACACAAGAATTTTATATATATAGATAAAAAAAAAAAATATCAGAAATGATAAACGTATAAAATATATATATATAATTTAATTTAGGAGGATGTCAGAGTACTGTTTGTTTTTTTATTCAATATCAGTGTGTTTTCATTTTATGCTCAGTGTTTACTTTTATACTCGCAGATGACGTGTATATTCTTCAATTATCTCTAATTAGAATAAGAAGCTTGTCACACTATAACTTTAATTGTTATGACTAAGTTAGTTAAGGTAAATGGTTTGGCAATACTAAGCACCCATTGCAATATCCATGTGAATGCAGAAAATTTTTTGGATGAAATAGCCCAGAAACTTTGAAGAATGGATATCATTATTTATTTTGTAATATAAAAAATGGAATAAAGAATTTTAAAATTAGTAATAAGAATATATTAGTATACTTTACATAAATGTAATATAATGAATAAAGGAACCCGAGGGAAACTGCTGACTGGTTATTTGATGTGGCAAATTTTTTTCTGATGTTACCTCTAGAAGAAAATCATAAATATGCCACTAAACCCACGTACGACATATACAAAACACATTCACACAAAAGCATTTTTTTTTATGTTATCTTAGAGTAAAATCACCTGTTACAAATATTATACCTAGTGAATAATATTTTTCCTGGTATAACAAATCGATTTATCTAATATTGTTTCAAAACAATTTAATCCCATTTAAATTTACAAATTTTTTTTTTTTTAAATCAAATATTATGGGAATATTAGGTCACATAGTAATTCAATTTCCAAACGATATGTCAAATCCTCACAAATAATACCTTCTTTTGTTTTTGTAAAGATGATTTTACTCTAAGATTACTCAAAAATCATAAAAAAAACTATACTCTTATCAGTTAAATTATTTGTTTTCATAGAAAAAAAAAGAAAATATTTTTCAAAAAACGTAAAAGAATAGTAAACAATCTATACAAAAGTGATACGAACAACTTTATACATAAATAGCTAGACATTGGAAGAATTAATACTTTGTCAAAGCAGTGATTTGCATGAAAATAATAATAGTTTGTAAATGTAAGATGTAAAATGCTTAACGTAAACAAGACAATTTAGAACAATATAAAAAAAAATAATAATAATAATAGTTTTTGGGAAGATTATATTGGTGATTTTCTTTTTACCCCATTTAGATATATGAACTTTTATCTCTTCCTAAATAATTAAGCACCATACAAAGCACAACAGTAGACACTTAATACCTTGGTGTATTTGAATTCATAATATACTAATATAGTATAATATAGTTCCAGTGGCGCACACTCAAAAATAAACAGGGGAAGCATATTGAATGGAAAAATACCACCCACCCACAAAGTTACTTTCAAAAACAGACCCGCAGTGGCTTCGGCCAGACACCCCCTTAGGTAGAATTGTATAACCTTGTTATATTTCATTTACATTTAAGTTCAACTTTTTTTTACCACATGAACACACCAAGTCTAAACCAATATTTGAAATTTTAATTCGACATTTTGTAGGAAATTAAAAATATTATAATGAAAATAATAATAAAAAACAATAACTCACAACACTATAACACAGTAGATTGTGATTTTTAATAACTAATAACGTAGCTGTGTGAGCTGTGTGAATGCCAATTGTACGTTTCGTGTGTGGCATATTATGCCATTGTCCCATCGATATTCAAAGTACAAAATTCTTATTGTGTAGGTACTTATTAAATATAAATCCAGTTTAGGAAATTTCTTAGGTGGGACTGTATACCTGAATCTATAGTATACACTATCCATGTATTTTTAGAAATAATAGGTTGATGCATTAGCATAAAGCCTCAAACAAATTATTTTATTATTAAATATTCCGACGTATTAGCACGGTAGGAATGCCTATCCCAAATACAGATTTGATTGTATTCTGTAACACCGTGAAGGCGTGAAAACATACAAATCTATTCTGTGATGTTATGGATGATAAAATACTCATTAGTATTCAGTCAGTTTCCTACTTACCTCTTATTGGATTTTAGTCTAATGGCTATAGCCCATATACCTATATTATTTAATAGTTTATTTTTAATATTTTTATACATAGTAGAATTGTTACGTTGAGGATATTTTGGGGGCATGGAGACATCCGTCCCCAGCACCCACTCACCCACCAAAAAAATCAGGGGTAGCAGAACCCGCTAGTGTGCGCCACTGTATAGTTTTATATAAATTTAATTTATCAGTTATTTAAATTATTAGGAACCTATATTAATTATCATTAGGCAACACAGGTATTTTATGATTTATTTTATAAAAAAAAATATGAACCCATGATTTAAAAAAAAATGATTAATAATTACTTATATGCAAATATACAATAATCCCTAATACATTTTTAAATTGAGGAATTATTTCATATACTTAATTCCTTTAACTTAGTATTAAATATATTTTTATAAGATATTATTTAGTATACAATCCAACTTATTAATATTCCAATATTTTAAGTTGGTATATTCTTTAAAAGTGCGCTACACCCGCATGCGTTCTCTCTCTCAAAAACGCATAACATTGCAAATTGCAGATCACGTTTAGCTCTGTTAGTTTAAAAATTAGAGTGAATTGACCTCTTATAAAATGTAGAAGTAAAAATATTATCTAATGAACCTTATCGGGTTATTTTATAATTTAATTTTAAAGCAAGTTATGAGTATTTTAAAATTGTAAATTGTTTGTGCATTTTTAAAATACTAGATATTTTTGAGTAACTTTTATGTTTTTGGCCTAGACCAAAAACCAAAATGAATTCCAAGTAAAATAATAAAATTAATACCATAAGGCAAATAAGGTAATTAACTATTTTATCTAGTTGTATCATATAGTTGCATTTTTAGCCAAAATAGTTATTAATTTGTGACATAATTATCAGTTATACTTACTTGAGAAGAGGAAAAAGATGAGCACTCCGTAGGATTGGGTTCTGTCATTGATATTTCAACATGGGGTGTAAGAAAATGCATTGGTGGGGTTGCATTACTTTCCGAACGACTTCCTCCAATTGAATCACCACTATCACTACAAGCTCCACTAGTACTGACATTTCCACTATTGTATTCAATAGGTATGTGGTTTGTTAAAGTAGAATTTATTACATTAACACCCGGGTTATCTAGGTCAATTCCATGTCTGTAAATATAAAAATATTAGAAAAATTAAAAGTAAATTTCTATAATCAGATATAGTAAATAATATTTTTACCTGTTAAAAAAATGGACTCTTAAACTTTTCATTGAACTAGCTCTAAAATTACATAATGGGCATGATTTAACCATATCATGTTGACCAACATGTTCATTTTGGAAATGTGCTCTCATTGCAATTTGACGTTGAAATCCTCTATTGCATATTGGACAATGAAATGGTAATGATTTTGTATGTGTTGTAAAATGTTCAGCTAAATGATCTTTTCTAAAAAAACGCTTTTGACAAATTTTGCATTCATAAGGTTTAACTCCTGTGTGTCTCATTTTATGTCTTCTCATATTAGCACCATTTGAAAATTTCATATTGCATATATCACATTCAAATAATTTACGATTTGTTTGTAAATCATTCTCATTATTACTTTCTATTCCTTGACATGTTGCCAAGTGTGATATTAAACTTGTTTCATTTAAAGTTTCATAGTTATCACATCTATCACATCGGTGAACAGAAGTTCCACAATCTGAGACTGTGTCATAATTAGAATTTGATTGATCATTTTCAATGTCCCCATTTTCTTCAAAATTATTGTTTGAATTATCATTATTGTTTCCGGATGATACATCAAATTCCTTTTTCACGGGTGTATATGAAACTACTTCAGACATGGTATGTTAAGGCCTCTTTGTTTTAACAATTAAATTGCAAATAGACCAATTAAGTTTACCATAAGTATAAATATGTTTTATTTGATTCTAAAACAAAACAAAGTATAATTACATGCTGACAATTTTACTTCTAAGTAATATATTTACATTCAGTCATACAAAGTTAAATTCAATAATAGAAAACTCTTAGATTTTAAAGTCACTGTTTCTCTTTATTTAAGAAATAAGTACCTATTTTTAAAATGTTTATTATTCATAATTAATATATTTTTAGGTATGTATAATTTTTTTTTGATATTACATATTATTATCTAATTAATTTAATAGTCTACTGTAATATTTATATTTTCTGTGTATATGGAGGATTATTAAAATTAAAAACATAAAATCCACCAGACACATGGCAAGCTAACTGAAATAATATTAGGTTTTCAAATTTAAAAATGAAATGTCGTGTGAAAACTGAGGCCAGAATATTTTACAACTATTTGAATGTATCATAATAAAAAGCATAAAAAAAACATATTCTATAATATACAAATTATTATACCTTAATGCTTTAATACTTCAATTTTAAGGTACAACTATAAAAGCAATTTTTTTTTTTTATTAAAAACGTTTGTAGGCCAAACATCTTAAATACCTTAAAGTAATCTATATTATACATGTTTACAATGTAATTATTAGGTATATAGGTATGTGTTATTATCATAATATTAAATTATAAAATAGTTAAGTAACATGAACATTTATTTTAACTAAATATCATAAATATTATGTTATTTAAGAATAATATAGAATATTTTACTGATTTAAATAATGTATGAATACTTAGATAAAATGTAAAGTACTTGCCACTTAATAATTATTATGAATAAATTAATGATTACCTAATTTATGCGTACATCTAATACCTACATAATATATCATACAAATATTTGATGATAATATTATGTATAGCTTTTTACATAATATTTTATAAATTATTTATAATATAATATAAACTAGGTTATAAGAATATAAAAATTAGTTTGAATTGAATAAAAAATAAAATAAAATTTGAATGCATACAATGATTTACATTAAGGTCATGTTAACTATGTAAGTTAGGTAAGAGTTATGTAGGTTAGTGTACTGATTATATTGGGCAAGAATGCAATATCAGAATACTTGTAAATACCTAGAAACTAGGTCAATTTTATGTAAAATAAAACAGAACATACCACATAATCACATAGAGCATCCAGATCACAATAAAAAGCAATGTATAAAAACTGTAACATTTATATTTTATATTAGAGAAGAAATGATTGTACAACAAATGTCTAAATTAAGCAAAACCAAAATAAAATAATGGAATGAGAACAAAATATGTTCTAATACGTCCAGTGATGGTTAAAAATGAACGGAATAAAAACTTTTGACTTATAACGCATAATTAATTTAATATAAGCATATTGTGAACAAAAGTAATTCCCTACATTTATTTTATAACATAATAATTGTAAAAAAAAAATAATAATGGTAAAAAAATAATTTTATTCTCTTATGTATACCTAAAAACTAATTACTGATAAATGATTATCAAAATACTAGCAAGGTGCATCTATCAGGTGTTTTTTTTTGTAGGCCGATGCTATGTCCACCGCTAGATTGCAGTAGATATTCTTTGTAATTTGAAACAAACTGATGATAAGGATAAAAGTCAATATTGATATTTTAGAAAATATGTAGAAAAGTACCTCCACAGCCACCGAGGTCCCTTCACTCTTTGTTCCTGTGTACTTAATATATTATCAAAAGAGGTGTTCAACTTTTGTAACAAATTGCCTGAAGATTGCCCTTTAGAAATTGACTAATAAAAAATTACAAGAAAAAAAAATAAATATAGAATCATGATAAAGTAAATTTAATAAATAAGTGGAACTTTTCTACTTTACTGGACACCGTTCTTTTTGCAATTTTTTTTTTGTTTTAACATGTGTAGACGTGTAGTATTAGTTAAGCATATTGATGACGATGATTGTTGGGCAGGATAGACGGGCAGTGGAAATAATATAATTGATAAATGATAATATAGGTAAGTATAATAATATAAGATCGAATATAAGTATAATAATATAAGATCGAATATGACAATTATTTTTTTTTGTACTTTTTTAAAAATCTAATTTAGTAGGTAAGTAGTCAAAATTATTTAATTAAAGTATGACAAGTATTATCGGCGCCGGTCGCCGAACTCGAAGTACTAAAGAGGACGTGTACTAGAATGGGGAGGGAGCTTAGCTTCAAATAAATAAATAAATATATTTTCTCTAAAATATTAATAAACTTATAAAAAATCAACTGTAATAATAATAATTATAATAATAATAGTTAATAATCCTATAAGATTCTGAGCATAGCGATAAATGTATTGATTTTACTATGATGTGTGTTTTTTTTATTATTATTTGTGTCTGTATACACAATAAGTAGTCGAAACAATGTTTCGATTTTCAACTTCAGTATCTTGTTCGATGGGAAAGTGAATCTGAAAGTGAAATCTAGTTTGTGCGTTGGGGAGGTCAACATTTAAAATTATCAGTAAATATTTTGACTTATTTTAAGCTGATTACGGACAATTTCGAATATCAATTTTTTTTTATAAATATCAATGAAATTGATATTGGGTCAAACAATGTGAAAACTTAATACAAGGATTCTGATATATTGTTACAATAATAGTTAAAAAAATTAAAAATACATTGGTACGTTTTTTGTAAGCATTTAAAATTCGAATTTTGACAAAATGTATCAAATTGAAAATTTAGTAATTATTTTGTAGTTAAAAAAGTATAAAATGTTCAACTTTTATAGCTAAGGATTGAAAATGTAAAACAAGGTTCCACGTAAATAGGTTATATATAAATTACTTTATTCACAATAATAATATCATCAAATATACTTAGTAATATCATAGGCTGACTAACCGTTCTCGTTCAGAATCGTCAGAAAATCAATTAGGCTATCTGACCGTCTTGGATCAAAATCATTTTTCTTACAATGATATTATTATATCATTGAATTCAAATTTAACACCATCCATCACAGTGACCCACTTGTAAACTACTGTACAGCAGAGTGACACCCACTTACTCAGCTTTTTTTTAATTTTTATTTATAGTACCTATGTGATTATTTGATACTGCCTATAATAAAAATGGTAAATATAATTACTTAGCTGAATGCCTGTATATGTTTTAAACTTTTAAAGAAACGATATTTTATGATAAAGAAAAGTCTTTTATATTTATGTTGTTATTAATTATTTTTAATACGATAGCCACTAGCTGGTAAGTTAAATCAAGAGGATTGCAACGAACGTATTTTTCATACGTTTTAGACCAATAAGAGGTGGTAAATTACACATACTTCGGAATGTCCGATTTAAATTTTTTTTTTACATGTTTGAATTCATTGATAAAATATCTAGGCTTCTTAGGAAGTCGATTTTCAATTTTCAAATTAAAATGACCTTAAAATAATCATTTTTTTTAGAAAACCCATGAAATAATTGCATTACATTTGTATTTATTTTGGGCACATCTGATTTTAAATAAAAAATAGTGATTCCTAAGAAGCATAGTCTAGAAGTTTATAAATTCAACCATTTTTTCGAAATTACAATCAAACTTCGGAAAGTATGATTAATTTACTACCGCTTTTAGTAGTTTTTATAGTAACGCAAAAACAAAAATATATTTCATTTTTCACGATGTATTGAAATGTGTGTGCGCGTGTGAGAGTTGCTTCCGGCGCGGTTGCCCGAATCGACGTGACAGCGATTCTCGGAATCGATAACGGATTACGTACACTAATGTTCATTTACTACTCACACATAAATACAGTAATAATTTATATGTCACATGAATTGCCTAAATTGTACCCCTTAAAATATGCTACGTTGCAGCCCCCTTAATACTAAAAATTACAACTAAATAACATAAATCGTTATTCTGGTTATTTAATATGTAATTTCCTCCAAATTTCAATATAAAATAACTACAAAAAAACCGTGTTTTTATATTTTGGACATTTTTTTTTGACAGAATAACCTATACTTACGTGGAACCTTATTGTTGTATATTTTCAATCCTTAGCTATAAAATTTGAACATTTTATAAAATTTTTACTACAAAATCATTTTAGATTCTGAGTGAAACGATGAATGTATTGATTTTACAATGATGTGTGTTTTTTTATTTTTTTTTTATTTTTTTTTTTTTTTTTTTTATTTTTTTATTTTTGTGTCTGTCATCACGTTTTAGGACAGTAAAAGTGCTTGGATTTTCTTCATCAGTAGCTTTTCTGATAGGAAAGTGAATCTAGTTGGTACTTTGGGGGGTCAAAAGTATAAATTTCCCAGTAGTTTTCACAAGCGCCGGGAAAAAACAACATAAAAATTAAGGAAAAACGGGAATTTTTACGCAAAATTGGTTTTCCAAAAAATCGATTTTGGTTTTTGGTGTAACTCTGAAACAAATGAACGTATATACATGAAATTTTCACTGGTTGTTTATATTTGCATATTCTATACACGATAACATTTTCAAAATATTTTGATTTATTTTGAACTGTTTAGGGACATTTTCATTTTCCATTTTTTTTTAGTTTTTTTTCTAAAAATATCAATAAAATTTTATTTGTTGGTTGCGAAAGCTTGAAAATTTAATAGAAGGCTCCTAATATATTGCTTCAAAGGCAGATGAAAAATATTAAAAATCCTTAGTCACAATTTTTTTTTATAAGCATTTAAAGTTCAAAAATTGACAAAATATGGGAAAATCACGAAAATTAGCAAATTATTTTGAGTTAAGAATTCGTAAAAATTTTTCTTTTTAAATCTAAGATTTGAAAATTAAACACAAGATTCCTTATAAGTTTGTCTACCTTTATCAAAAGAAAAATGTTTATAAGAAAGTCAAATTAAATTTTTATGAGCGTTTGAAATTCAAATTTTTACAACATTGAATATTCACTCGATTACCCATGTAGCGATTTCCTTATTTTGTTGTAATTCAAAAACAAATAACTGTAGATACATGAAAATTTCACTGAATGTTTAAATTAGCATTTTCTATACACCATACAATTTTGAAAATATTTTGACTCTTTTTGAGCTGTTTATGGACATTTACAGCTTTCAATTTTTTTTAGTTTTTTTTTCTATAAATATCAATAAAGTTTTATCTGTTGGGCCAAAAAGTGTAAACATTTAATACAAGGCTCCTGATATATTGTTATAATATCAGTTGAAAAATATTAAAAATACATAGGCACAGTTTTTTTTTATAAGCATTTAAAGATCAAATTTTGACAAAATTTATTAAAATCTCGAAAATTATCAATCATTGTAATTAATAAATTATAAAATGTTCAGTTTTTATAGCTAAGGATTGCAAATTCAACACAAAGGTTCTCATAAATAGTTCATACTGTAACCAAAAAATCTAAAAAATATATGAACAGTTATTTTTTACAGACATTTTAAATTCAAATTTGGACGAAATTTCATATTAAAAAACCTAGAATAACTATTTTAGTTATTTTGTTGTGATTGAATAATATTATTCGTGGATACTTGAAACTTCTAAAGTGTACTTTTATATATCTATGATAGTATCACGGTTTTTGTTGATGTATAACGCGTTATAAGTACCTAATGGATATTTTGATATGATTAATTTGGAATTTATTATAGGTACCCATTATAGGTCAATTTTTTGTTTAATACCATAGATATGTATATAATATGTCTTATACATAGACTGACATACCGTCTGCGCTCAGAATCGTTTTTCTTATACAATGATATTATATCGTTGAATTCAAATTTAATATCATCCATTATACAGTGACCCACTTGTAACCTACTGTACAGCAGAGCGACACCCACTTGCCCACCTTTTTTATTGTAAATTTGATAAATTTTTTCAAAAATTGAACTTAATATGCTTGTAAAAAAATCTTTTTATCAAGTATAGGAATTGATAAAATAAATATGTGATATCAATCTCAAGTGTCTACGGCTATTCGTTTTTGAATTATAACAAAATAAGAAAATCGAATAAATATCCAATGTTTTAAAAATTGTAAAAACTTCAAACGCTCATAAAAATTTGATTAAACGTTATAAGACCTTTTTTAAAGGAAACATTTTTAGGAATATCTAATCAAAATAATTTGCACATTTTCGTGATTTTTACGCATTTTATCAAAATTCGAACTTTAAATGCTTATAAAAAAATAATTGTGACTGGATTTTTAATATTTTTCAAATATAATTGTAACATCTATTAAGAACCTTGTACTAAATTTTCAAGCTTTTTCCTAACAAATAAAATGTTATTGAAATTCATAGAAAATAAAACTATGAAAATTGGAAACTGAAAATGTCCGTAAATAGTTCAAAACAAATCGAAATATTTTGAAAATTATGAAGTGTATAGAAAATTCTAATATGAATAACCAGTGAACATTATAATATATATATCATATAATCATTGATAATAGTATTTATAATCAATGTTATAATATTACATCATATGATACATATGAATCTACGTTGATTGTCATTTGTTAAGTTGCACCAAAAACTAAAACCAAATTTATCGAAAACTATTTTGAAAACTACCACTAAGAGTTTTAAATGCTGACTTCCCAACGCACCAACTACATTCACTTTTCCATCGAACAAGATACTGAAGTTGAAAATTAAAATATTATTTCGACTACTTATCGTGTGTATACCAATATATCGGTGATCAATATAATATATAAACCGTTTACGAATGTGTGTATTGTACCTACCTATATAATTGTAAACAAATGTTCGTGCAAAATCATAAGTACGCCAACGCCAGCTCCAAAAAATTTGATTTGTATCGACATTAAATTTTAATTGTGGCTTGTTGATATACAAACGAAGTCATTGGTTTCATGAACCAAAACAAATTTATCACTTTTAAATAAATATAAACCGTTATTTTGAATATTTTTGGATTGCGAATTGCGATATAGGCCTATAGCTTCATTTTAAGAAGTACTTACGATACATCGGGACATCGACTAGACCCTCTAGGGTAATGATTACTGCAGGCTACTGTTTTCTCTTCTTGTCATGAAAACACCTTTCGCACTAAGCCACTACCCAACAACTAAATTTGAAGATTTAGATGGTCTATTCACAAATTACTACTAGGTATACTACTATAGGGGCCAAGAGGCATATGGCATAGGCAATATTAATAATTATTTACAGTAGAACATCGGCTATAGATACGTTGCCTAAACAATATGAAAAAGGTGCTCTGCTCTGTTGTACAGTAAGTTACAAGTGGGTCACTGTATATTGGATGGTATTAAATTTGAATTCAATGATATAATATCATTGTATAAGAAAAACGATTCTGAGTAGAGACGGCATGTCTAGGTTTAAGACATATTATATACATATCTATGGTATTAAAAAAAAATTGACCTATAATAGGTACCTATAATAAATTTATTCCAAATTAATCATTTCACAATATCCATTAGGTACTTATAACGCGTTATACATCAACAACAAACCCTGATACTATTATAGATATATAATAGTGTACTTTAGAAGTTTCAAGTACCCACGAATAATATTATACAATCGCAACAAAATAACTAAAATAGTTACTATAGGTTTTTTATTATATAATTTCGTTCGAATTTTAAGTTAAAATGACTATAAAAATAAACTGTGTTTATGTATTTTTTAGATTTTTTGGTAACAGAATTAACTAATTACGTGGAATCTTGTTTTAAATTTTCAATCCTTGGATATAAAAGTAGAACATTTTATACATTTTTAACTACAAAATAATTATTCAATTTTAAATTTGGTAAATTTTGTAAAAATTCGACATTTAAATGCTTATAAAAAAAACTCCGACTTAAGATTTTTATATTTTTCATCTTCCTTTGAAGCAATATACTAGGAGCCTTCTATTAAATTTTCAAGCTTTTTTAACCAACAAATAACATTTTATTGATATTTTTAGAAAAAAAAACTAAAAAAAATGGAAAATTAAAATGTCCTTAAACAGTTCAAAATAAATCATAATATTTTGAAATTTATCGTGTATAGGAAATGCAAATATAAACAACCAGTGAAAATTACATTTATATACGTTCATTTGTTTTAGAGTTACACCAAAAACTAAAATCGATTTTTTGGTATTTATGTTAAATAAATAATTAATTTTAGATTCTGAGTGAAACGATGAATGTATTGATTTTACAATGATGTGTGTTTTTTTATTTTTGTGTCTGTGTACACGATAAGTAGTCGAAATAATGCTTCGATTTTCGACTTCAGTATCTTGTTCGATTGGAGAGTGAATATCGTTGGTGCATTGGGGAGGTCAAAATTTAAAATTCCCAATAGTTTTCACAAGCGTTTAAACTGTATTAAACTTTAATAGTATTGTCACCAATTTAATTGAGATTAAAATATTATTTTAGTAAGGTAAAAATTAAAATTAAACAAAAATGTTCAACTATAACTGTTACTATAATTACCTATAAATTCTAATAGGTACTTATGTATAAATCAAATGATAATAATAACTGTATTATTACGATATTTATAATCAAATATACTTTAGAGGTTACCACTTACCACTTAATCAAAAAATTGAAATTTTTATTTTGGCACAAGTGCACAACACAGAACTATATATTAATTATTAATTTTATATAAGTACTGATTTATGAATGATAAACACTAAACCGACTTGGCTGTAACCAGAAAGGGTTCTAGTTCTAGTAAGAATTGCATCTCCAATGATAGTATAAATAAAATAAAATAAATAAAATGGTATAGCATCTAATTAGGACCTAACAGTTCGCGGAGATTGCCGATGGAAATATAATAATGGGTTGTATATTATAACTTTTAAACAGTTATAAATATAAATATACCTATACATAGGTAAGTTACGTTATAGTATAAAATAATTAAAAAATAATAATTAAAATAATTTAACATTTTTAAAAATGATATAAAAGTATAGGTTATCATTTATAATATTTATATTAGTAGAGAAATTGGTAGTAGTTTGACCAACTAATATTTTGTGTGAAATTAGTAAATACCTAATGATCTTTATACAACATTTTAAATTGTCTAATACTAACAAAAGTAATTCAACGTATAAATATCGGAAAACTTAGATTAGGGTACTAGGGTTAAAAGTAAGATAAACTAAGTTTTTTCAAATAAATAAATTTGATATTGTTACATGGTTAAGAGTAACACTATGTATTTTATTATTTTCTGATTTTTATTTTCTAGACAAAATGTTTCCGGTACAAATATTGGTTGTTTTATCAATGATGATTATTATTAATCAAGCAGCAACATTAAACTACGATAATCAAAAATCATTTATAACTATCTATGACGCTGATACAATGAAATATGTAATGTTAAACAACAAGACATATAATGCAAATGGAACTAATTCTGAAATTACACATACAAATAATTTTCATGCAACAGATTTAATTAAAAATGTCAACAATTCAAATAAAACTTTTTTAACCGATTTAAATAAAATTTTGTCTGAACTCCCACGGGGAAAGGTTGTCGATTTTCTGAAAGGGTGTTCTATAGGTGTTTTTGGCAAGGTCAAATATTGTCCCTGAAATACATTTCAGATCATGTAATAGTGTCTTAGTTGTATAATATAATATATTCATTAAGTTAAATTTGTGTTGTTATTCCTATCACTTGGAAGGTTTGGGAGGGTGGGGGCTGTCTTCGTGGATAACTTTTCCAAACCATATACCTATCTATACTAATATATAAATACGTAGGCATTCAGTTATTTTTTTAATCTCCAGAACTAATGGATTGATTTTCGTAGAAGTTACTTCAAAATATTCGTCAAGACCCGCTGAGTGGCATTGTCAATGTTTCATTTTTTACTCACACTTAAATCCAATATGAAATTGAATAAAGCGACATAATGATCATCTATCTATATAAATACAAGCTGAATTACAATGCGTTGTCTGTAAAATATACTGTGATTCTTCAACTCCTTTTAGGTGTATCTAACTCACTGTAGAAGCAATGGTTTTTTAAGACGTGTAAATCATACTTATTATATTTTAATTTATAGCCATCCCCCCTGCGTCAGATTGTGGACCCCACAAGATGCGTACGTAAGTATATAATTTAACTTTAAAGTTTTACCAAATTTAACCAAGTTTTATCGTTTTTACTTAATTTAACCTGCGGCGGATTTGATGCAAACCGTGGTTTTTGATATAGCTGTATAAGCTATCTTCGTCCAGGAAAAAAGTATTAATTAGTATAAAATAAACTAATATAAATATAAACTTATTCTATTCGATTAAACAATGTATAGGCACAATCGTCCTCAACAATAAACAATACTAGCATACACAGTATAATATCAATGTTATATACTTATATGCGACATAGTGTTGACTGTTTATACGTCATAATAATATTATAATAACAATAATGGGGGACGGAGTGACCGAGCGGATTAAGGCGTCGGTTCGATGCCGGCCGTGGGCCGCGGCTTTTTTCTTTGGGCAAGTCATGGTGTCCGGAGAAAAGTGCTGCCATCCCCCACCCGGGCATGACAGATACCTACGGGTGCCCACTAAAAAATCTGCCAAAACCAAAAAACAGACGTGTTTAAAACTTATACAGTATCCTCCCACAGTAAAAATCAACCATTGGCCTAAGTTGCCGTTAATTTATATATATAAAAAAAAGCCGGTAAGTAGGTCGCTCTGCTGTCCAGTAGGTTACAAGTGGGTCATTGTATAATGGATTGTATTAAGCTTGAATTGAAAGATATAATATCATTGTATAAGAAAAACGATTCTGAGCGGAGACGGTTTGTCAGTCTGGATATTTTATATTGTTATTATTCATTTTATCATGTAAGTTGAATTAATATTATTATTTTTTATTCGTTTCTATGGTGATAGACAAACCGTTTTAAATTAAAATCCCATTTTTGGTGGTTTTTCGTAATTTTTCGGGGGTTTTTCCCGTGGCATTAAATAACTATTGACAAAAACGAAAAATGACCTCTTTAAAGTACCATCTTGATGCATTTAAAAGATAAGGTACTATATGTTGAAATCGAGAACTCCTTCTGGTAGAAATTTTGTATACAGAATATAAAAATAAAATAAATAAACACCATTGTAAAACCACTAGCTTCCTCGCTTCGCTCAGAATCTAAAATTATAATAGGTATATAACGTCATCGAAGGTACTTCAGGTATTACTTGTAGGTATGTACAATAGACTTTGTGTGGCAAGGGCTGGAAGTGAGCAATTTCAGTCGCGGGCGACGTGTGTAGCGAGCCGCAGTCGTGGGCCGCACTTCATTTCCGGGCGGATAGTCCCCCTATACGGCTAAATGCTAATGACTAATGAGTATATCCTCACGGGACACCTGCATGTATACCTTTAATGGTATACCATGTTACCTCAAATATTGAGTTTATTCAACGCTGCCAAAACATTACTCTTCATAGAATACCGGTAAGACAGAAACGAAATTATCCACTGAGATTTGATTATGACCACCGTCCAGGACGAGATTACTAAGTTTTCCCCAAAACACAAAATAAGGCTAAATCAACACACCAATCCATAACTCTCAAGATATAAGACGTCTCAAATGCCGAATATAACTTATAGTATAAAATATTAGACTAAGCCTCTCCACTGGGAGTGATGAGCAAAACAAGTTTTTGTATATTATATTTACCAAAATATTTATTCATTAATATTTAATATTTATGTACGCCTTTGAAATGTATTGTTAAAGATCATTGATCGTTATAATGAAAAAGCCTTCGGACGATTTAAAAAAAATTGTATACCTATCAATGGTAGTTTGTAGGTTTATTGACTATAATTTAAGTCATAAAAGCTAGTGTAGGTATTAAACCTAAAGCTAGTGTCATTATTATAATTAATAGATATTTTATTATATTTAGTTGATATAATTAAAAGTTTATAATGTTTTTTTTATGTACTGATGAAAATATTTTGAGTCCAGGATAGTTTATATAAATTATAATATTATTATTATATTATATTTTATACACACAATAACATTTTCAAATGTATTTAACCTACTGGTAGCACAATAATGTTTACTAGTAAAATAAATTACTTTAAGAGATTTTATATTACCATTGTATCAAATTTAAGACATCCGGTTGTCATTTTCGCATGAATATTATTTAACAATAGAACTGAAAAAATGTGTTCACCAAAAATCACAAGTTGTTTTCTAAATTTCTAATTGTACCTAACTATCATTAAAAACGGGCTCCTGAACATCACAAACTAGACTATAAATTAAATAAAACTTTTTACTAATAAAAAAATAAAATTTAAAAACTTCCAGATTTTGATGAGTTTTGTCACAATCAGAACTTTAAATGCTTATTCAACAAAAACTTATTGCTATGTATCACTATTATTTTTAAACTTAAAAACCGTATAATATTATTTATTAGGTATCTATATAATACGATATTATATACATTTATATAATTATGACTATATGATAATCATTGAATTTTCAATCAACAGTTATTTTTTATACCCTTCTATTGTTCAACATGTTGATACGCATAATATTATGATGTACGAGCATTTGACACAAGTAAAGAGACGATGGGCAAATGATGCGGTCCATTACAGTGACTTCTCTAGACATCTAATGTCAGGAGCGGACATTAATAGACCGTGGGTCACCAAAATACTTCTCAGACCACAATAAATTACTCACCGACCGAACAATGATGGTTTGTGTGTATATATGTATAGAACTCAAAAAGAAAGATGACTGGTTTACTGAGCAAGTCCTGTGAGTGCTAGTATGTTGGTGGTGTGTGTTTACAAAATTACCGCAAAAACATAAATACTATAAAAAATGTAGCCTTTCTGGCTCAATAATAATAATAATGAAATGATAATTTAATTATCAATTGCCTGGTTGTCACAACCTGCATCTAGTAGATAATAATATTATAATAGGTACTCCGAATATTATTTAGGTGCGAAGACTGCAGCGACTACATGTAGCCATGTAGGCACCTACATTCTAATTATTGTGCTCGCACTATAATATAGGATTTAAATATTTAATACAGTTAATTTTACACAAATTTTAATAAAATTCACAATAATATATATAAATATGTATAGATGTATGTAAACAACCGCTGAGATTAGCCCTACGTATGATTAATATGATAAAATAATAATAATAATAAAATAATTAAAATTAGATAAATAATAATATAGTGACTTATTATTATGTGAACTGCCACACCCGAGATTGTTATGTGTCATCTCAGCAATTTTGCTTCCATTATAAACGTATAACTATACATAAAATTATAGTGTGTGCAGTTTTATGTAACTAATTATACTGGGTGTATTATAGTGTTTTAGTGTATTACTGTATTTTTTAATTTAACATTATTGCATAAAAAACCTTCAAAAGCGTTATTTTCCCCCTTTTTAATTATAATTAAAGCTAGGGACTTCATGCCCTTAAAACCCTTAAAATATGAATTTATTTGTGCCATACAAAATAGCTTAATATCCATTATAAACCTAAGCATTTTGACTACGGTAAAAATATATATAAATATTATCATAAACATTTTTGTCATACGTTTAAGTAGCGTAATTTTTTTCAGATCTTCCTGTTATACCTTGTATATAGAGTGTGGATGGTGGGTCTGCGGTCTGGGGTGGGGGAATTATTTATAATTTGTGCACCCTCAAAAATGTAGGTTTAGTTGCGCCTATGGTATTAATATACTTAAGTATATATTATAGTCACACAATCATTGGACTCTGCATTACCAATGTCACTCCCAGCCAAACACACTAGTCCCGGTGAAATCGAGTTTATTATCAAAAAACTTCACAACAAAAAAGCTCCCGGGTACGACCGGATCACATATCTCACAGCTAAAAACCTACAAAAAAAAATGATTATACTACTTTCGTATATCTACAACGCAATGTTGAGTTTATCTTATTTCCCCCTAACCTGGACATTTTCCGAAATTATACTAATTCCAAAACCCAACAAGCCTCCAGAAAAAGTTATCTATACCGTCGACTTATTCACATTGCAGTTCTCAATATCCATTTTTAAATATTATAATGTATAGTAATTAATAATAATTATATTGTCTTTTATACACATGATTTCACAGTTAGTATAGTTATATACCTAATGTATCTGTATAACTGTAAGTAAAGGTAAACCCTGAATACTGAATAGTTACCACAATATTTTTTCAGTACACAAAATATAATATTATGTGTTTATGTACATACATATTTAAATATTTAATATAAATAATTAAATTAATTATTTAGATGGTATGTATTAGATTCTGAGAGGATCAATCAGCAATAAATGTATATCAGTATCCTTTCCTATCAATGGAAAACGGCAATGTTTTCCCGTTTCCACATGTTTTTGACAAAATATATTTTGGTTTTTGGTGTAACTCTTAAAAAAATTATTGTAGATACATGACATTTTATATTTTATATTATGTATTTATATATTATAGTCACGGTCACATCTATAATTATCATATGAAGA